CCATCCTGTTTGAAATCCTCTGGAAGGTCAAGCAACGCATGGCCCGAAAACAGGAGTGCTATCGCATCGTCGCTCTGCACGGGCTCCTCTTCGCCTGTTGCAAGATTGGCCAGGGCCTGGTGACTTTCGCGATGGGGATTCACATCTACGTACTGCAGTATCACATACGCAGTAATGAGGGCTGGCGTAGACTCGTTTTCCTCTGCACTATTCGGGATCTGTTTATGCTGCTTGAGCTCTGTGTGCATATGGTGCACACCTGGACCTGTTATATGTGGCAGCTGAACCTGCATAACTGCGGCATAACCCATGCCGTGAGGTTGTTTCGGCCATTCAAACGGATACGGCGATTCCTGGCCGCGCGTCTCTACCAGGACGAAGTGATACTTGAGACGCGGGAAAATAAGAAGAAGCGAAAAAAGAAGAGGCGCGACCTGGACTACATCTACGTCAACTACCTCCAAACTCTGAGTTCTAGGCTGACCGAGGAACGCTTGGAGCAGTGCTTGGGATGGCTGGTTGAACATGAAAATCTGCCACAGGAATTGACTGTTTTCATGGAAAATATGGGCTACTAAATCAGAATCAGTAAACACCTTTTTGTTACTAAATTTTTCAGTCTCGTAACAACGGCAGCTGGCCACAAAAAATAATTTTTTTATCACCCGAAGAGTGAGCAGAGCGAAGGCAAAGGGTCGGTTCTGATGGCAAGGGTTGCTGTCCCTGCTTCTGTTGCCGTTGTCTCGGTTGCTGCTTATTCTGCTTCTGTTTCTGTTGCGTCTGAGGCTGCTGGGTCCCAAACTCGTTGCAACTGTTCTTCTGACATTGTATTGTTCGACCTGCGTCACCAGTTGTTATGACCCGTTTAGTGGATAGCAAGAAAGCAAAGGGTCGGTTCTGGTCGCAAGGGCTCTATTCAGGACAACAAAAAGACAGCTGATCTTCCAACTTGCCCATTCCAGCGCATTTATAAGGTTTTGCTCCTTATGGAACAATCCTAGCCTCTGGCGTGCGTCCGCTGTTCTGGCCTACATACTAATCGATAGTTTTCCCCGCTGTGTGAACGGTCGTCGCGTCTGCACGCTGGTCCATATTTTCCCACGCTGTGTGAACGGTCGTTAGCGCACGATGCTTGTCTGCGCGCATGACTCAACTCGCAGATGGGAAGTGAACCTTCAGGCGCGTGCGAACGGGAGGATGGTCAGACCCGTGGACATTACCAGTTTAGACACCTCGCATTGACCTGCTATCGTGGACCTAGCAGCGAAACCGTAAAGCAACTAGAATGCAATCGATCTGAGTTGTGGTACGGCCGTCGTTCGAATACCGGGTCAGTAGATGTTTGTGACAATGCTGAAAGCATGTGGGGGTACTCAAAGTCTGACAGTGCACAGTCTCCATGAATATCACGTGGATGTTTGTTGCCTGGCCGAAGTCCGAGAAATGAAAATCTCGGGAGTCAATTACCATCTCACCCTGTATAACAGTGGTCCGCATGACTCATCTGGTAGACACGGTGTGGCTATTGTCCTGCCGGAACAAGTCAACCGTGAACTACTGGCATGGGAACCAGTCAACGACCAAATGGCTTACGTTCGACTAAAAGGCAATTTTACGAACATCTCGGTCGTCTCTGTGTATGTACCTACATCAGCGGCTGAACAGCAAGACAAGCAGCATTTCTACTCGCAGCTGCAGGAGCTAGTTGAAGCACTCCCTCACCGTGATCTGTTAACTGTTGCCGGGGACTGAAATGGCCGGACTGGGCCCGGTGACCCGAAAGTCACCCTCTTGGTCGTTTTGGGCTTGGCTCTCGAACGGAAAATGGTGAGAGGATGCTGTAGTTTGCCGAACAGAA